ATATTACCTTTCCTTGTTTCTAACATTTTGCCTTAACCAATTAAGGTTGACACTTCAAGCAACCAAAATTAAAAATAATAATAAAAATAATAAACAAATAAAAAGCCCATTCTTACCCTTGCATTGCATTCAACCCCTGGCTCACGAGTGGGCGGCTTTCAACCCCTCGTTGCCAATATATATTACACCATTGCCCACTCTCTCACTCCTCACTCCTCTCTCTCTCTCTCCTACTTTTCTCACTCATTTACTTCCCAAGTTTTGATTTTGATTGCTTTCATGGAAACCCCACAAGAGTTTATGGGATCTAACGATCAAATTCATATAATTCCGGTGAAATCCCACCGGAACAAACGTATGAAGCTTCTTTCCGGCGGTGCTGATGCTACTTCCTCCTCCTCTTGCGGCGGCGGCGGGGGCGCCGGAGATGAGTTTGCTGCCTCTTCTTCTGTCTCCGACGAGGTTAGTACCGAGGAGGAGGAGGATATGGCCAATTGTTTGATTCTTTTGGCTCAAGGAGATACCCACCGCCGGGCGAGCCAAATTACAAACAAAAGGCTGAATTTTGAGAAGCCCAAAGCTGGATTTTATGTTTATGAGTGCAAGACTTGTAATCGGAGTTTCCCTTCTTTTCAAGCCCTCGGCGGGCATCGTGCTAGCCACAAAAAGCCTAAGCCGATCACCGCCGTGGAAGAATCAGAAGAGCCACAACAAGTCAACAAGGCTATCCCGATCGCCGCCGCCGCCGTCGTCGTCCAAATTCCGATCAAGACAGAGACAACAACAAATTCCCAAACACAAAAGTCGGGGAAAATTCACGAGTGTTCCATATGCGGATTGGAATTCAGTTCAGGACAAGCATTGGGAGGACACATGAGAAGACACAGAACAACCGCCGTGTCGACAAACACCGACCAACATGATCATAAGCGACGGAACATTCTAGAGCTGGATCTGAACCTGCCGGCGCCGGAGGAGGATCTCCGGGAGACAAAGTTTCAATTTACGACAACCCCACAAACAATAGTGTTCGCAGCTCCAACACTTGTGGATTGTCACTATTGAAAAACAGGATCAAATTCAAAGAAACCCCAATATGAAATCGTGTTTTAATTTAGCTTTTCATTTGATTATATACAGTGATTAAATATTCTTTGAAGCAATATATGAATATTTGGGTATCTATAACTATTGAAGCTGAATGAATCCAAATACTTTGAGTAAGAGCGGTTGGCTCGTTTGGTTGGTTTGGTGTTCTAATTTGGTTACCTTTCGCTCACGAAAAGTGGTTGATTTTTTGGTACTTTTTTTTTTTTTTTTTCTCTTTCAAAGTTTCTTGCCGATCAAAACTTTTTAACACTAACCCATAAAAAAAAAAAATTGAATTTTTATGGGAAATTTTAGTAAATTAAAACTTTTTAACACTAACCCATCAAAAAATATTGAATTTTTGTGGAAAATTTTAGTAAATTAAAACTTTTTAACACTGACCCATAAAAAAAAAATCGAATTTTTATGAGAAATTTTATTGAATTAAAACTTTTTAACACTAACCCATAAAAAAGATAGAATTTTTATGGGAAATTTTAGCGAATTAGAAGTTTTTAACATTAACCCATTAGAAAAGATCGATTTTTTTTGTGGAAATTTTGAGTGAATTAAAACATTTTAACACTAACCCATGAAAAAGATTGAATTTTTATGGAAATTTTTAGTGATTTAAAGCTTTTTAACACTGACCCATAAAAAAAAAATTGAATTTTGATGGAAAATTTGAGTGAATTACAAAAAGGCATTAATTTGTTAAGTGAGAAAAGTAAGTAAAAGAAGGAAATTAGGAAGTGTGATGGGTAGGGTTTGGCAGCTCCACCACCACATCTCGACGTCCCATTGGATTAGGTTCTTTCTTTTCATATGCTTTGCTTTGCTTCTACATATGCCTCTCTCTCTCTCTCTCTCTCTCTCTCTCTCTCATATTAAATGACAAGAAATACATGGATGTCAGGCTGAATGGATCCACCTGTCACTTTCTCTCTCTAAAACTGAGTTTGGGTTGGGATTTTTCTTTTTATTTTATTTTAAAAAAAAAAAATTAAGAAAATAATACAGCTCAGTTTTAGTTTCTAACCCTAACTGTTACATCTAAGCGAAGTGACCAACTGTATATTATATCCCTTATTTTAGAAGCTGGCTTTTAATCAATATCCGAAGACAGCGGTGGGTCCCATTACTTCTCTGTGTGGGACCCACTCCCCCTTTGTTCCCTACCACAACCATTGGGCTTGGATAAGTGGGCCTCCTCTCTGGTCCATTCCATCATTTGGGCCCACATTCTGTTTCCTCTGGTCGTGCCTCACTCACCATGCATGTAAAGGACTACTAATGCTCGTGATCTTTTTCTTTTTCTTTTTCTTTTTCCATATCAATATTCTTTAATTTCTAATATTTTTTTTAAAAAATGTTTATATGCGAGAAATCACACGTGTTGGGGTTACACGTGTGCCGATAAGCCAAATTAAAAATATGAAAAAAAAAAAAGTTTATTAGGGTAAAATAAACACTATCGTTTGATTTGTTTTGTCAAATGCTGCTGAACTAAAAAAACTACACGTGCTCTTAGATTTTAATAGTAATTATTCTCATTAGTACGAGATGAATCGAAGAAACGTCTATAAATAGGATAAGATTTGAATTATTGGAAGCACGAGCTTAGGTAAAAGTTAGGAATTGCAGGGTGTGAAAATAAAAGAAATGAGGTTCATGGTTGGCACATGTTTGCATCAAGGTAAGCCATCTTGTCACACATCAATTTTAGTACTTAGATTTTACAGAACATAAAGACACTATTTTGGAACATGATTTGATTTATACATAAAATTAAAGCTGTAATTGGAAAAAGGGTATAATTGGAATTTAGGTGTAAAATAAACATCGAGGACTGGACAGGGAACTGCTGCCTAATCCGACCGACAACTGCTGTGTTCTGTCGGCTAAGTGTACTTTGGTTTTAATTTGGACACGTTCTGCCAACATGCGAACACAAAAGCTTATATTTCAACTTTTTATTGTATACTTTTAAAAAGTGCTTATTTGTTACAAACAATATTAATGTTCTTTATATCCTTTTATAAAGGCCTAAATTAATAGGAATATTTTTTAGAATTCAATATTCGAATTTCCATGCTATTTTCTTATTTTTATAATTTTACATTTTAAATACTTATTTAAATTATACTTTTCCAAATCATTTGACGTTCAGTTGCTGTGGTGTAGTGGTTATCACGTTAGTCTTACACACTAAAGGTCCCCAGTTCGATCCTGGGCAGCAACACTTTAATTCTATATTTTTGAACTTACAAGTTATGATACTAAGATAATTTTATGCTTGAAAGTTAAGTAATTGAGGGCATGAGAGGGGTTTTTCCCCTTAATTATCAAATACATTCTATGTTTCATGTTCCATACGTTTCATTCGTAAATTAGTAATTGTTAACTCGAGAGGTGTATCGATGTAGCTTAGAAATGGTCTAAAATAATAGAAAATAACTTCTTTGAGCAAATTTGATGGTCGGGTCGGGTCTGACGTCTCGGGAACCGGTGTTTGGCCTGTGGTGGAAGTGGCTTTGCTGGATCAATACTGGCTTTCTGGAAGACTTGGATAATAAACCTTTCCTACATTAAGTTGACCAAATTCATGCATTGTAAGGCATTAAATTGACAGTAGAAAATGATTTCATTTACTTGCGCCATGTACAAGGGAAATGCTAAGGGAGCAGATGCAAAGGCTATCAATTCAGTGGCAACGATAATATCTCTGTGATCTGAATGCAAACCTACAGAATGAGTGAAAATATTCATTTGGAAAAGTTATGGGCAGAGCAATTCTAATGGTAATATGGGTGTAAGATCTAACATCACTTGGAGGGAGAACGAAGCATTTCTTTTAAGGGCGTAGAAACTTCTCCCTAGCAGAACACGTTTTAAAACCTTAAGGGGAATCTCAGCCCAAAAAAGACAATATCTGCAAGCAGTGGCCTTAAGTTGTTATAAATGGTATCAGAGGCAATCAGTGGCCTTAAGTTGTTATAAATGGTATTAGAGCCAATAAATGGTATTAGAGCCAATCACTGAGTGTGAAGCCTTGGTCGGAGTAGGGCTAGATCCTCTAAATAACATATGAGTTTTAAAATTGTGAAGCTGATTATAGTATGTAATGGGCTAAAAATGAGAATATTTGCTAGAGGTGGTTGGAGAGGGGAACGAAACATTTCTTATAGGGTATGAAAATCTCTCTCTAGCAAACTCGTTTTAAAACCGTAAAAAGGAAAGCCTAAAAGGAAAAGTCTAAAAAGAACAACATATCCTAATAGTGAACTTGAACTATTACAATGGGTTTGGTGAATGGTGAAGTAAACAAGTTGTCAAATAACAGATCTTTTGGTTAAAGAAAGTGAAACAAAAACGCCTCATATACACATCTGTAACGCAGACAACAATGAATGTTGTGTCAACTCAACCTACAACGAGCTTTACCTAACATGAAAGCACCCACCAACTTGAATTGAGTAGAGGAAGGAAATGCTCTCAGAAATCAAATCAAATGAAGGCTCAACAAAGTGCTATATATCGACAACGAGGTTACTTCTAGCGACTCTGTATGATGAACAACATTCAATTTCATACAAATATCTTCCAAATTTTCTTGCCGACAATATGCTCATATTGAGAGATAAACGTATCAAATACTCTAAATTTGATAACATTATCAAAACAACAAAACAATGACAATATCACCTGTGTAATCATGCAGCATTCTCAGTTAATAACCAAGAAAGAAGAATAACAATCTACGCCTGGGGTTTACAATTACAACCATTAGAGTAAATCAAATGTGTTCATAGAAACAAATGGCAAGACAAGCAATCGAATGCAATAAAAGGCAATCGAATGAAAATCTGCAGAAATGCATTCTAGAACGAATTTGGGACACCAAAAGAAAGGAAATGAAACGGAAGGTTGAATAAATAATTTAGTTCTAAATTCGATGAAGTCCTTCCCGGTCCAAACATGATTTGTAATTGAAATTACTGGAACCCTCTTTCAATCATTCAATAACAAAGCATCATCTTCTAACCTTAACCAGTCATTGACTCTCTCTCACCAAAACCGCCCAATCAAAATAACTCCCCAATCTAATCCCAATTTCGCATCCCCATGTCAACGCCCCGCCGCTCGCCGCCGTCGACCGGAAACCGCGCCTCTTCCGACGCCGCTCCCGAACCCCTAACCCAATCCCAGAAAAATCAACTTCAAGTCCATTTCACCGACGAAGACGAACTCGATCTTCTCAATTGCTACCTCGAAGTCGCCGGATCCAAGAATTCTCAGCCCACTCTCGACTCTCCGGCCTTGGACCGCATTGCGACCGCCCTCGGCCACAAATTCAGGCACTCCCACATCGCCGACAAGCTCCACAGGCTCAAGATCCAGTACCACAAATTCGCAAGAACCAAGTCCTTCATCAAAACTCCCCACCACCTACGGATTCTGGAGATTGGGCGCAGCATCTGGGGAAAACCCCACATTCCCAGAACAAAACCGCAGGTAATTTCACGCAGAATTAGAGGAAGATCAGTGGCAAGGAAAAAGGGGGTTGATCTGAAGAACTTTCCTGTTCTTGTGAGTGAATTTTCCCGGCAGTTCCCGGGAAATGGAGTGTGGAGAGAGGGGCTGAAGGGAATGGAGGAGTGGAGTTTGAAAGGTATGAATGAGAAGTGGGTTCTGTTGCATATTGAAGAGGCAGAGCTTAAGGCAAGAAGGGTTGCGCTAATACAGCGGCAAATTGGAACAACACAAACTAAAGATTGATTTCTCTTACAATTTCTATTCTCTTTTGGGAACAACAAAGTTCTGTAGCTAATGGCAGAAGTTAGAAACTTAGTAGGTGGTGGGTGCAGTTGTAGTGTATTGCTGTTAAGATCACGATGGTGGAGAGTTTCTCACCAATAAAGGATTCTATGTCAAGACATAGTAATGTTGTTCAATGCTTGAACTTTTATTATTAGTCAAAACAGGGAAACATTTACCTAATTCCAGGAAATCCAACTTTGAGAGATTTTCTTGTTTCAAATGGCTTCTAAATAAGGTGAAAGCCTGAATGTCCTATTTGAGACGAAGATGAGGATAAAATAAACACAAAAGCAGCAAGTAAATCAAGAATTGGAAGAGATCTAACCTTTTCAACATTCAGAACATTGAGATTTATGTAAATCGTCCAAATCTCTTTGGCCTAAATCAATAACCAAGAGATTTAAAACAAAATTGACACCAAATCATAGATGTAAGTGGTAAAAAAATCTCACATTCCCTCCATATCAATGCAGGCTTGATGCTGAATTATACCAAAGAAGCAAATGAATCATGGGCTCTTATACTCCACAAGTTCTAATAAGCAAGCAATTCATTAAAGTGACGCAAATTTTCAAGTCTGGATTTTGCAAAAAGAAAAGAAAAGGAGCAAGATAATGATTCATGGTCGATAAAATCTAACTTTTGTTCCAGAAACAGTAAGATCGGGAAAGATGAAGCATATAAACAATTTACCTTAGCACAGAAAGTTAAGGACCAAGATCCATCAAACCCACATCTGGTTCTAAATCCATAGAATTGCAGAGTCAAGCAAAGATACAGAAGCATATATATATATATAAGCCACCTCTACAACCATACAGAGTTCAGAGTAAACGTAGAAACTCCAGCATATTTTTTAGGCAGGACGATTGACCACAGATACCAGGAAAGTGCGCACGGTTTTCCATTTTAAAACCTTTATATTGACTGCTTTCTTTCTTGCCAGTAGCACTCCACATGATCAGTAAAATGAAACAATCATTTAGCAGCAAGCACGTTCTGTTGAGCGAGGTTCTCCTGCTGCTGTTGGTAGTTCAGGGGCCTCCGGAATAGCATGATATGCGGCTCAGGTCGATGAATAGCATAGTGCACCCACCCACGACTCTGCTGAACTCCAATTGCACGCCACTCATTCTGCACATAGGATTGATTATTTATAGGATTAGGAGTACAACAACATGCTTTCCAGTAAATGAGTACTCGAACAGATTTGGGAAGCACCCTTTTGTTTAGAACAATGATTAACTTATGTTCTTTAAGAAATTCAAGAAAATCAAAAGGAACTGACGGTATAATGAACGATATTCCTGTGCCTATGCTAATTGTAAAGTCCATTGCTCACTGGTTGCACACAGAGAATGCACGATTGAGAGGCCGGGATGGTTCTATCGCAACAGTCTTAAGCCCTGGATTATCAATCCTATTTGATATATCTATTATGCGAAATATACATAAACACCGTTTCAATTTTCAACAATCATCAGCCAAATGAAGAGAGAAAATCAAGATCGCCATGAAAAGTTTAAAAGACTAGAAAACTACATAACAAAAACTTCTTAGAGTGAAAGAGAGAATTCAGTCTAAACAAGGATGACGCATTTATTAATCCTGATTTAAGAATCCAACTATCGAATTCAATTTAAAAAAAAAACAGTCAGAGAATGCTTCCCTTCGCAACAAAATTAATAGGCATAAATAAAGAATAAGACTAAATTGCTTACTTCCGAGAGAAGGCGATTCTTCGGAAGCAACTTTGCCACATCGGGTGGGAGCACCACATGCCTGTATCAATCAATATAGTTAGCCATTGAATACAAAGAACTAAACACTTCCAAACAATTCTCCAAGACGAGAAACTGAGAGTAAGAATCCAGGACCTATACTCGTAAGTATCATCGAAGTACTTCTCAGAGTACTGAATCTGACCCATCTACCAGAACTTAAGCTTAGGCTTCCCGAGAGAATTACAAAAACAGGTAGAGCGGAGATTCGACGGTTCCGATCCCCAAAATGAAACGATATTTAAACAGAAAACTAGAACTGAACTAGGGTTGAAGACTGAGCAAAATGGCGCGTTATATACGATTGGAAGCATGAGCAATAAATTGCAAAGTCGGCCAATCTCTTGTGCCCACGTGTAACCCGATAAGGACTGGACAGCATGGAATTCTTCTACGGTGCAGCATTTTGCCACGTGCTCATTTTTCTTTACAAAAGAGTATCTATCATTTTTTGAATAATTTTTTAGGAAAATAGTTCAAATTGACAGGCAATAAATCACTATTTTAAATTTTCCAATAATTCTCTTAAAATATCAACAAAATAAAAAAATAATAATTAAAATATATTTTTCATTAATATTTTTTTAAAAAAATCTTTAAATTTCAAAAAAAATTTAAAATATCTAAAAATAATAGCATGTCATTAGTATATAATTAAATTAGAAAATACCCTCAAACTTTTAAATATAAAAACTTCTTAGTGTATCGTTTTCACTCATTAATCTAGTTTAATACGATCGTAGATCCAATATTTATTTATTTCTCCATATTTTTAATCTTTTATAAAATATCAAAACTTTTAAATAATAAAAAAAAAAAAAAAAAAAAAAAAAAAAAAAAAAAAAAAAAAAAAAAAAAAAAAACTTGGAATCCAGAAAAGAATGGCTTCTACTGACAATTTTGGGAAGCTTTCCATGTCTTTGTTCTTCATTCTTTCTGTACACTAAACCAAAAAATGTAACCCTATGATATTCCCCAGGGTTGTATGACCTTTTTCTCTCTGTACAGTGTACACCCACCAACAAAGGAAAGGAAAGGAAAGGAAATGAATTTAATGGCGTTGGTTCTCTTCTTCTATGAGTTTCTTCAGCTCTCTGGGCTTGCTGCTGCTGCTGCTGCTGCTGGTGCACTGCTAATAACACGATACTGTGGCACCGCCTTCTGCAGCACTGACGTCCCTTGGAAGATCATCATCTGGTAATGTCTCTTGTACTCCATTACCTCTTCCGGCGCCAACTTGGTGAACCCAAACTTGTTTATCCACAACGACTCCGCTTCGTCTGCGGCTGGCAGAACCAGATTCTTCACTTTCAGATACCCCAACAACCTCTCAATGCACGAATACAACGATTGGAAGTACCCCTGAAAACACCCTCTTCCTTCTTTATGTGTACTCTTCTCCTATCAAAACCGGACTCAAAACAGAGCTGATTGTGTTTGTTACTTACCTGTCCTTGAAAGTTGGTGTCTGTTGCCACTAAAGGAAGCTCCGCCACTTCACTCCCAAATATGCGAAATATTCCCGCCGACACAACACATTCACTACAAGAAACAAACAAAAAGAAAACTAATTTCAAGTCCTAAGCTCCAACAATAGAACTCTCTACCTTCATAGACTTCTTCTTACTTCACAGTTAGAACTGCACAGTATATCCCACCGAACTCTTGGCCCCTGATGTTCCTCCTGCCCAGAAAATACAAGTTCATAGCACTACTCTCAACACCCACTAATCATTTCATTGGGGGAATGAAAAGAAGAGGAGAAGAATCGTTGTTTACCCATAAAGCATTGACGGAATGAAGTCCCTCCCAGAGGCGGAGTCAACTATGGGGTCAAAACAATACTGGATTTACAAAATTTGGAATAGTTGGCAAGCGGTAGTAGAAAAGCACAATGCACTCAAGATGATATTATTTGGTCACTATGGTCACTCACATGGAAAATAGAAACGGCCTTTGAAAGCAATGATCTAGTTTCATCAGAAGATGACATTTTCCAGTTTAGGACCCGCCATCTAATTTCAAGGTTGTTTATGCTTCCTGGACCCTTGTCGTCGATTTTTTTTCGTACCGAGACCAGAATAGACTCGGGCAGCTTCTCTCCTCCCAAAAACACTAGCTTCCCCAGTGCAGAGTGTATCATGTTACACCCTGGACAACAGAACCACTTTCCTTGGGGGAGTTCCTGCGAGAATATCGAGATTTTAAACATTCGAAGTTTATCGCTTGCTCACAAGAACTCTGGCAGATAAAGATGGTGTTGGGGGACACCTTGAGATCTTCCATGTTGTGTTCCTTTAAGCAGCCAACGTGAAACTCCTTCTCACACTGAGAACATATTGGCATTAGGTACTTTAGGATTAAGAGAACAGTGGCAAAGGAAGATTAGATAAGTTAACCTTGCAAGAGTAATACCTGATCACAAAGAATAACGGTTCGAGGACCGAAACCTAACTTGCTAAAGTCATGGCAACTACAACAGTTGAGAAGTGCATTATGAACTCTTGAAGAAACATTAGAAGGCAAGACCAAACATATAACAAAAAAATTGAGCAAAATGTGCAAAATGAGGTTGTTTTCAAGAAAGAAGAAACAAAAACCTGCACAAGGCACATCCACCAACTTCCACCTCCAAAGTTTTGACAATGCGAATGCATCTCGTTGTTATCTGCTTAATAGGATCAACACCAGCAACCCTTCCAGCGGCAACAGCATTTGCATTGTGCTCCACAAATTTTTCCTTTTGGAACAAATTCTGGCAATATTTGCAGTACCAGGTACCGGTCGGGATGCATGGTAAAGGAACACAATCTGAATTGGCCAAGAAAAAATGTCAAATAGTGGACAATAAATCCAGTGCAGTATGTGATCATCGTGATATATTTATGCATTGATGTTTAGAACGAGTTACTAATCGACAAATCTTTCAACGTAGGCCTCGAAAGAGAGAATTTTCAAAATTATGTGGAAAAACTGACACAAAGATAGGACATTTTCGACGGGAAATGAAATCACCTCTATGAAAAGCCCTGGGGCAGCCTTCACAACACAATAGATCCCCTCCATCTGCGCAAATGCTACACAAGTCATCAGTATCATTGGAAGAGAACTTTCGTCCTTTTGATAGAGATATGGACAACTCATGTAGAGACACCCCATTTGATGTGTAAATGTGCAAATATCTGCAAGGGAGAGTTACATTACAAACAAAACCAATTCTATCAACTAAAGTCTAATAATACATTACAAACAAAGTTTCACTTCTGTCAAAACTCCACAACAATCTGTCTAGATTTCATTCACACGAAGGCAGAAACTTACCATTAGTATAAGCTGAGTAAGATAAAATAATTACCTAAAAACATAGACATTGGCAACTCTTTCCACATTCTTGATTCTCATTTTTATGAAACGTTCCGAAAGTCATTTACAAATTTTGGAAACAACGGAATCTAGTTTCTTGTTCTCATTCAATTTTTTCAAAAAGATAAATAACTTATTTTATCATTCTATAAAAATAACATAGAATATTTAAACAGATAACAAGAAACAAGAAAGAGTTACTATAAACAATTACCAAACACATTTTTGTTTTCCTCCTTTCAGAAAGAGAGAAAAATAGAAATAAGAAAAGTTAACATTACCGAACGCTCCAATATAAACATGATTTCGTGTTTGAAGTTTTTATAAAAAAAATCATATCAAGGATAAAGTATATCAAAATGAATAAAGCAAGTACTCACGGCTTGCGCCTTGATGCCCAGCCAGCATGAGCTTCAAATTGTGAGGGACTAACCTGCTCATTAGGCAAAAGTCAAATTAAAACTCCACCAAATCTTCAAGATCATAAATGCTTCAGCAAAATAATACTACCTCAGAATTGCAGCAGCTACAAAAAATACTAAATCCCTTTTTATACCCAACCAACAATTTCTGCAACAACAAATAAGATGAATAAAATATAGTATATATAACATGAAAATTAGTAAGAACAATGCTTGTCTATGATTAAAAGGAAAAAGAAAAAGACCTGCCCACGGGCATAGTATGCAACTTCAGTTCCATCGGGTAATATGTCTTCGTCAAACACTAACTTATGCAGCCGTAGATCCCTGTTAGAAGGATCTCAGATAATGCTCATGAAATAAACTATACTAAATTTATTTAAAGAAAAGGAAAATGATAAAAAAGAGAATGTTAGAACATATCTACATGAGCAGAGTGGCACAAGAAGGGTCCAAACACTCACTTTCGAGTTAATCTTCCATGACTTTTACCACGAGTGGAACCACTCTTAGATGCAGTATCAGATGACTTCGGAAGTAAATTTGGATTTGGAGTGCTGCAACAAACAGGCATAAGAAAAATACACTTTCAAAATCTGTGGGAGCAAGATGCAACAATGGTCGTCTGAGATATGCTACATTTTCTAAACTTGAATTTCAATTCCAAGTAGTAATAACAGTGAGTGAGACGATCCACCCAATGTTCTTATCTAGATAAGGATGGTAAATCCATCCCTAGAACTACATGCAACAAGTTATGTGCTAAAGGGATTTGGAAGTCATCGAGACATAGGAAATCTGTTGATTTACATCAAGTCTTAGCAAACCATGAAAACTTGACAATTTTAGCTCGAAAGTGTAATCAGAGGTAATAGTAATACTCGAAGTATAGCATAGTTTTGCCATGATACTTGCACAATGAAAGACTATGCTATACAAATGACAGGCTACACTGAGTTTCTATTCAAAGTTCAAGAACTAAAATAGAACCCTTAAAACTTTAAAGAGTGAAGCAAAATAAGCATGAAAGTTCATGGACTAAAATAATATTTCAACCTACAAATTTTTTCATATATAAAATTATTATTTGTTCATGGTGTGCTTAACACAACCAAAAAAAATCTCATTAAGGAAAGCTAAGCATTACAAAACCCCACAGAAGATTTTTCATATTGTTCTCACTAAAAGGAAAAAACGTCATGATCAGTAATCACACCTTTCGTTACTAAATACTATGGGAATGGGGCTACTCTCATGAGGCTTCTTCGAATCCATGCATGAACAGCAAAGAAACATGGCAATTCCGGGGTCTGATTCTGGAATACGGCCTATAACATAATGGGTTAAATATATAATCGTTAGTCTGTTGGGTATTGCAACAAAGCAGAGGAATGGTAAGACAAGCTAACCAGACATAAAAGCAACCTTTGCAACTCAGGCAGATAGAAGATCTCTTTAACAAGGAACAACCAATTGCACTTCGGATGAATTCTTCTGTCTGGTCGA